CGATATTTTTTTTATTTTCTTGCAGAATAATTCTTAAACTAACATTTTGTGGGTTAAGATCCCAAAGAAGATTTCTTATTTGATAGGAATATTGTTATATTTATTAAATTCTTTAAATTTATATATGGATAAATAATTTTCCTAAACAATAATTTGTTATTTTACTTCCTTATTAGCAAAATATTACGCGAATATAGGCATACAAATATGATTTCTGACATGTCTTTTGATAAATAATTAAAGGAATCTGTGTAATAAAATATATATATATATTCGCCGCGTTATTATCGGGTTACGTCGTCGTATCGCCAAAAAACGAAAACAGGAGAAATTTCGACATGTGATATGTACTCTCATGACAGGATATCACTGCTACAACAAATTGAACAAATTTGAATGAGAAATTTTGAATCCTTATAAATTGTTTGAGGAACCTTAACCACCCATATCTTGAAAGAAAAATAGTTGTAGATATGTATATATTTGATATTAGGAAAAGTTTGATGCAAGAAAGTAATCGAAGGTTTTTTGTTCTATACGGTATGATATTTTATAGATTGTTAAAGAAGATTGATATATAAATGAATCCGAATGAATTTGTGTAAATTTAGAGGTTTATATCACAGAAAAAATAATAGTAAATTTGTTATTTGATTTCAAGGTAAATTCTAGATTTATTCTAATTTGAAATTTGGTTCAACCAATTTTTTTCTTTTATTATGTCTAGCAAAAAGTGCCTCAACCGAACGTGCTTCGGTTAAGGCACTTTGGTCAACCAATTTTGTTCTTTTCTGGAATAATATTTATATCCTCCTTTCAGGAGGAGTCCTAACATGATGCCAGTAATTCGCATACCTTTTTTGTCAGTCAAATGTTTGACTTACAAAAATTTGCTTATTTTGGAAATAAGGTTTTCATCTTTTTCGAAGAATTTCAGTTTATTTCCTCATTAGCAAAATGTCACGCGAATACAGGCACACAGATATAATTTCTAACATGTCTTCTGGCAAATAATTAAAGGAATTTACGTAATAAAATACATATATGTATATGTATATATATTCACCGCGCTATTGTCGGGTTACGTCGTCGCATCGCCAAAAAATGAAAACAGGAGAAATTTCGACATGTGACATGTATTCTCATGACAGGACATCACTGTTGCAACAAATTGAACAAGTTTGAATAATTAAACATGTGGTTGTTTCCAAATGATTCCAGTCAGCGACAATTTTTTCGTCGAGGGCAATGGGGAAAAGTCTCAGGATTATATGCTGGAGATCTGTTGTTTCAGGTAAGCTTCTCCAGTACACCCGAAGCCAGCCCCGATTTGTCCAAAATTGATTCTTGTTCTTTTGCAATTTCTCAAAAGAGAACTATTGAAGTCAAGATATAAAGAGCCATCGGAAGGATTATTATGGCTTGGAACTCTTCCGAACCAAAACAGCATTCTCAAATTACATTCGAGTTCAACAAATTTTTGGGTGAAAAATTTAGCCATATATACCTTCTCGACATCGTAATCGTTGAAAATTCTTGTAAACCCAATATATGTTATGCAAAGTTCAAAGCCTGTATAATGCTCTGCAAATTTGACGTAGGGGTACCTGCATCTCGTAGTTTGCACAAAAAAGTGTAGAGTCCATGTTCAGTCCCAGGAAAGATTTCACCTGTTTTCTTCAAGTTGCCCACGAAGCGGAGAAAAGAATGGCATCTTTTGAGCAAGGTCTGAGGTGCCTTCTTTGCGAAAATGTCCCTCAATATTCTCAATTGTTCAGTGACATTGCCAAATTGATTCAACTGAACTACAATGAGACAGCTGCCAGGAAGTTGCAAAAGTACATCAAGCCATCTTTTCAATGCAGTTTGAAATTGAGCGTCCCTCAATTCTGTCCAGTTGTTCTCACTACCTGCTTTGACAACCTGTATTCACGATGTTGCAGCAACACCCTGAGATCGATATTTCTTCTCCGGTTGTACTTCGGGCAGGCTCTCATACAAAACGGTAGGAGGCAAAGAACATTTGAAAATTGCAGGTTTCAAAGATATAACTCTTACCAGCAACAATGTGTTTCCAACAGCTTCTGTCCCACGGCAAGACTACAGGAGACTCGACTGAAATTTCACTCCAAGCCTTTGCAAAAACTAAATCTGAACCTTTCATGCAGATGTATCACATCTATTGTAGTAAGCACCAAGCCGACGACGCAGGTGAGGAGCGTCCAGCCGAGGGTGCAAGCATGTGATAGCTTGCAATTGCCACTACTCAGCAGGTGTAAATTCGAAAAAATGGATGTTCTGAATTATCAAATTGAATTAAAAGGTGGTTTGAAATACACATGAACAAAACCAAATAAAACAAGAAATCCAGAACCCCATTGTAAATTTTGAATCCTCATAAAATGTTTGAGGAACCCTACCCACCCATACCTTGAAAGAAAAATAATTGCAGATATGTATATACTTGACATCAGGAAAAGTTTGATGCAAGAAAGCAACTGAAGGTTTCTTGTTCTATACGGTGTAATGTTTCAGAGATTCTTGAAGAAGGTTAACACACACATAAATCCGAATGAGTTTGTGTAAACTCAGAGGTTTGTATCACAGAAAAAACAACAGCAAATTTGTTATTTATTTCAAGATAGATTTTAAATTTATTTCAATTTGAAATTTGGTTCAACCAATTTTTCATTATGCCTAGTAAAAAGTGCCTCAACCGAACGTGCTTCGGTTAAGACACTTTGGTCAATTAATTTTTTTGGTCAACCAATTTTACTCAACCTCCTTTCAGGAGGAGTCCTAATTTGATGCCAGTAGTTCGCGTACCTTTTTTGTCAGTCAAATGTTTAACTTACAAAAATTTGCTTGCTTTGGAAATAAGGCTTCATCTTCTTCGAAGAGTTTCAGCATTCGGCACAAATTAATTTCTATCGGCTACAAGTCGCATGCCTTGGAACAATATCTTTATTTATTATATGATGAGGAAAATTTCCTCTCGATATTTGGTCTAGATATTAATAATATTCTAGGAAGAAATTAAAGGACCGGATAATCGCACAAATTAATTTCTTCCACTAATGAATTTCAATGGTTTTAGCGGGGACAGGGAAGGAAGGAAAAACAAAGGAGGTGGTGAAAGATCGGGAAGATAAAACGATAGGTATGTATATATATATTTATATATATATGTGATTTGTATGTTCACCCTGATGTGAATCGCTATAATTCTTCCTTCTCAAATCATGGGAGGGAAGCGGCGTGGAGTTGTCGGATAACGCATGGCTCGGTGCTGAAAACTTTGGTCTGGCTGCGGTGGGAGAACAGGGATGCCCCAAATCTATTCACTGGACAGGGTCCATTCCATTTCTGGTGAGGACATCAACTATCTTCATTTGATTTTTCAGATCTTATTTTGTTCAACGGGATTGAACCAATTTTGTGGGAACCTCAGTGATTACCAGTGTACGAGGTTCCGGCCTTTCACACTGGTAGCGGAGCTACCCTGAGGCTCCAGTGAGGACACTGTAAGAGTGGCTCTCCAAGGCCTTTTTGCAAGCTTTACTACGCTGGTGCCCACATGCCGCCGAGCCAAGGTGGAGGATTAGGTGTTCCGTTGCCTGCTGATGATCCAGATTGGCTTCCAGTGGTATTTAATCGAATCTGACACCACACTATGACATCAAAGTCTTAGAAGGCAAAGAGGTACCACCTGACCCCCAATGGCGAATTCTGCATCGATGGCTTGTCAGTCAGGCCGATGAATTTTTGACACGGTCTACATTGTCGCGGACAATGGATTTTTTTTT